ATATATATATATAAATCCATAAAATAAAATGCACTACTAGATAAAACAGGAGAAAGGGAAGAGATGGGGAGAGGACAAGCCCCATCACTGGAATTTTTTGGGGATCAGGGACAGTTTCAGCACACCCAGCATGTGCCATTGCAAGATGAGTGAGAAGACTTTCGGGAGACCACACTGAACAATGTGTTCCTGATTCCTTAAACACTTTTCTGGATCAGTGCTCTGTTTCATACTTAATTCACGTTCCTATGAACATATTCAGGTTCCAAGGAGACCTGGTAAATTACGTGTCAGCTTGTAAGGAGTTTACTCAGGCACATGGCTAAACCCAAAGGTAATTTTCATTAGTGATGTAAATCAAAATTCAAATGACTGCCACAGAAAAGAAAGGCTGAAATATCCCCTTCCCTACCCCCACTGCAATCCACCTTTCCTTGATCCTAGAAAGTGAAAATCTTCACTAGCTGCCTCAGCTGGGACACAACACGTGTCTCCCGTTCTGTTCAGTTTCTGTGTTGGTTTTATCTGCTGCAGATCTCCAGTCTGCCTCGGGAGGTGACAGGAAGGGAGCGAATGTGTTCTCTTCGCAGAACAAACTGTATTCATCCCCCGTGAAGTCTGAAGACACAAGTGGTATTTATTGTGCAGAACATACAATTTTTATGGAGTGACCTCATGCTTATTTAAACCTCTGGTTTTACTCAGAAGACTTGTGGTTTCAGCTGTCCTCTCAAGAGCTACGAGCAAAGAGCCTGGACATACCTGGGCAAGATGTTCAAACTATTAAAAAAAAACTGACTGCAGGAGCTACTAGTGCTTTCAAGGAAGGTGTCACCTGCTCCAACGCTGACGAGAAGGGTTGCAAAATGCAGCCTTTTGGAGTGCAGGAGTTTCCCACATTTGTAGCATTACCAGCTGTGCTATGAGAGCTCTCCACTGACACACTCATCCTCTTAAGAACTCAGTTCTCAGAACTTCTCTTTTCTTTATCCCTAACAAATAAAAAGCAAACCACAGACTGTAAATGTCAAGTTAGTTCACTATTTCCAAGAGAAGGAGGGAATATTGATCCCTGCTGAGATTTCTTTTGTCCCTGCTCATCCTTTTCAGTACTTTCTCTTCAGTACTTGGCTCCTCTCCGGTGTCCCCACTCTCAGACCCTCTGTGGCTCGGGACGTGGTGATGTTTCAGGGCACTGACACCCCTGATGAAGGGACGGACCCTCCGGAGTCAGGGGGATGCTGTCAGGTGTCTCTAGCTGCATGCTATTTTTCCTCCTCTAAGTTCTGAAACATCCTCTAATGCCTGTTCCTATTTGCTAGAGTTGCTTCTGCCCCTAATCTATATTGTCAGTAACTTCCCTGTTTAATCCACCTGGGGAACAGGAAACACTCAGCTCATAAATCCAGACATAGCTCAACACTGGCCAGATCTGGGCTGTAATCCACAGAGTTACATCTTGAAATGCTGCCAGTTGTTAAAATCAAAGGTATCTTCAAGTCATATCCGCAATGTCGTCACTTTTCAAAGAAACTGGTGTCTACCCAGGGGTGCAGCCAGAGGTACCAACAGAATTTAAAAGGGCTGGTACACAATCCAGGGGCTACCAAGCATGCAAGATGCTCCAACAAAGTGACAGACTTTAGAAGAGAGGGCACATTTTGGAGGTTCATCCAACCCAAGAACACATCTTCCTCCTGCTTCTCTAGAACATACATAACATCTCCAAGAGGGCCAAAGCCCATTACTCCTGCAATGACAGCTTTCAGCAGTCAGCAAATAGCATTTAATTTCCAGTGAGAAATATTCAACTCACACAAACGCTGGTAATACAGCACCTGCATAATTTTTCCCAGATGGAGCTCTGAAATCCCTCGCTGCTCTGGTTGTACTCCCAATATTTCTTTTAACACCAGGAGCAGGAGCCAAGGCAAACACAGAGCTCACTGCCCGCCCTGATCCCCAAAGCTGCTGTTAGGTGCTCGCAGTTGCGCTGCAAACAGCAGAGCCACACGGAAACGGGCAGGGGATTGGAACAAGGCAGTAACTGTTCCTCTCACTTCATTTGTGAGGATGTCACATATTTATGTCTAAGCAGCAAAACGTACAGGTTTGTGCAACAATCAATGCCTCTTCCATCCTTCCCTGAGGCAACCCAGAACACTTACGAGCTTCCTCTGCCCTCCCAGACCAGAGCTGAAGTCAGCTAAGGAAGGAATCAGTTTAGTTGGACACAGTATCTGTGTTCAGAGGTATTTTACAATTAAAGCAGAGAATGACTTTGATGTCTGTATCAAAACTAAGAATCAGGTCACTGTAAGACAGGAGTGTAGAGTCATTAAGAACAGTCACTATAAGATCAATCAGCCCACAATATACTAATCTGTTCTAAAGGTACAAAACACATCAAATGCCCAACACAACTCCGAGACGTTTCTGTATTGCTCAGCGGTGCCTACAGGAAAGCAGAGCAGAGCCCAGTCCCACTGCACAGAGGCTGACTTGTCTGCACAGCTCCGATCAGACCGCAGCTCTGTTTCGACCGGCTCTGCGGAGATGGCTCTCTTGGGACCAGCTGACTTCCAAGAGCAAGCGACTACAATAACAGCTTTGTACCAAATTTAATGTCAAGAAGACCCAGGAGATCCATGAAAGGACTCTCCTTCGTACTTGGGCAGATCCCAAGGCTGGTCCAGACACAGTCCCAGACACTTACTGCTTTCTCTATTATTCTTGAGAAATCCTGCTGCCAAACCAGCCGGCCACAGAACGCTCCGAGGCTGCAGCCAGTCACGCTCTGCTCAGAAATCCCCCCTCAGATTTATTTTCTTTGAGTTATTTTCTCAGATTTATTTTCTTTGTTTGTTGCTTTAAAATGTCAGTCATGACTGCAATAACTGCGAGGCACTGAGAGAGGAAAAAAGAAGTTTTACTTGCAATGATGATTGTATGCAAAGTATCCTCTGTCTTGCTCGACAAACATCACACCTCAAAGCCAATGAAACAGGGAATTATTTGTGCAAGAGAAGCAAATAATAGAGCATAGAAAACAGTAAATAAGCACCAAAAACCAGCACCACTGCACCTTAAGCAATCCCTAAGCATGAAGGGGCAATTGATAAAATAGAAAATTACGGTCAATGCGAAGTACCACACACAGGAAAAAAACCACACACAGGCCCTAACCACACCTGCACCATCACAGGCTTCACACAGCCTGCACCACACAGACGAGACATTAAAATCACTGGGAATATCCCTATTTAAATGTCCATTTAGTATGTTGTGGAGAAGAGAAAGACAATGGAGATAAGACTGGAAAGGATAATCGCATTAGTATTGCACAAAGCCATGCTGCTCGCACAACTTGTGTTCTGCACTGAATTCCTCTACTTTTGTCTGAAAAAAAGATGCGGTAGAAAGAGAATAATATGGGAAAGACAACGTGGGTGATGAGAGATAATAAAATTCCCTCTGAAAAGAGATAAAAACAGATTAGGATTCTTCAGCAAGGGAAACAGATACTAAAGAGAGAAATATGACAGAATAGAACTGTACTTTACAAAGGAATTGTGAATAATCATTCTCTGTTCACTTCTCCATAACCCAAGAGCTAGGACAGCAAATCAAAATCAAATAAACCTTTAAAACCTCTCCTGGCAATTTCAAACCCAGTAAGCAGGTTTTTTTCTCTACATAGAGCATTAAATCACAGGATCTGTCCCAGAGGATGGTATGGAAAGAAAGGAACCAAGGTTCAAACAAGATGAGACAAATGCAGGGAGGACAGCCCAGTCACGGGCTCTGAACTCACCCCTGCGCCTCTCCCTGCTGCAGCTGAGGGCGGTGTGCTGATGGAAAGGGATCCTTCCCTCTTTCATTTGGGTTTTTTTGTAATATTTTCCTAAACATTGCTACCACAGGCAGACAGCATGGTGAACTAAATGCATCCTGAGCAATGTGCCCATTACTCGAGTGAAGGGAAGACAACCTCTACTGTCTTTTGGAACCGTGTTTTACCCCACAGTTCTCAGGTGTATCTGTCTTTTCATGTATTAACCATCAATTCATGAGCAATAACGTTTTTCTCAGGGTAAATTCAATTAGCATAAAAAGACTGCAATTAAAACAGCTTGCAACCATCCCATGACCCATACAGAGCTGGAAAGGGAGTAATTTCCTGTTCTGTTCATGGCAGAAAATAATTATTTCTGTGGCTGATAAAGGTAGTTACATATTCATTTCCAATAAATCCCACGACTCCCACATACTGCTCTGCTATTTCCTTTCTCCCGCTGCCCTTTCTGCAGCTGTTCTCTAGAATTAAAAGCAAGACGTAGATGCAAATAACATCAATGTAACAGACTCCAAATAAGAGCAAAGAAGCTTTTTTTTTTTTTTTTTTTCATTTTTTCAGTGCAGCTCAGCTCAGAGCAATCTCCAAGTCCTTTTCCTATGCTTCTTAAAAGCAAGAAGTAAAAAGTTACATACCATTGATGGCACTCAGCACTTTGATCCCATTTCTTTAGGGCAATTTCTAACTCTTCTTTCCCTGCAAACAAGTTGTCAGAGATAAGAAATTCAGCCAGGAATACAGATGACAGGTTTGAAAAAATCAACTTTTACACCTTTAACGAGCCCTTGGTCTACTTATACTGTCTTTCATAAAGAAAAAAATTTAAACACATAACATGACAGTACTGCTAGCTACTCACCTGGAAAAAACAGATTACAAGGAAAAAAAATATCCACTATGTTGTTTGCAAGTGTAGAGTTTGTAACTGTGAAGTGTAAGGTCAGAACATCCCCTTCCTCTGCCTCAGACACACAATTCCTTACCCTCGGCTGCGTATGATCTCCTCTCATCTGGGTCTTCTGTGATTTCACACATATCACTATGTGCTCGGGCCAGGCGCCAAAGAAAGTCTTTCTGGTCTGCATACTGCAGGAAAAACAGAAATGTTATACATCAAAACCCATTCTGCCACTCAACAAGAGCGTGAGGAAAAAACCCAACAAGTGGGGGCATATACTAGAAGTTGCACAGATATTTTTTGAAACTTAAAAGGCCCCAACTCTACAAGAGCTGAAGCAGAACCACCAAAGGGCAAACTGGATGGCCAAGACACACATCCTCACTGGCTGCATCCACCACGTGTGGCCAGGGGCACAAGCCAGCTGTCAGCAACCGCCACAGTACAGCCACCCCTGTCCCTGCTATGGCCAGAGAATCCCAGACTGGTTTGGGTGGGAAGGGACCTGAAAGCTCATCCAGTCCCAACCCCCCTGCCAGCAGCAGGGACACCTTCCACTAGACCAGGTTGCTCAAAGCCTCATCCAACCTGGCCGAGAACACTTCCAGGGAGGAGCAGCCACAGCTTCTCTGGCCAACCTGGGACACTGTCTCACCACCCTCAACGCTCACCAACCAGGGGATCAATGCACGTTGCCTGTATGATATAAGACACGTGCTTAAAGGTGACAAAACTGCAGCACCACCCAGGTCTTTAACCTCATTAACTAACACACACACAAGCGTTGCCCAACTCTTCTGTTTGAATATGCAGCTGATTTATTTCATGGATCACCACACATGTGCACTGGGCAGTCCTCAGAAAGACCAAGTTTCCTGAATATAATCAAGCCTTTGCATGTGCAACGAGGGAGACGGTCTTAAAACGTTTGCCCTGTTTATTGTACACACATGGTACTGTTATTTACACATGTACAGTGTGTTCACTCAGGGAAAGTGATGACATGAAGAGACATGGAGTTCCAAGATACAGAGCGACTGGGAACTGGCTGCTGCTGTAGCCTGAGCCGTGTTGGCCTCCAGCCCACTCCCAAGCTGCTCCCGAGGGAAGAGGCCACCGGGAGCTGGCCCCGTTGTGGTGCAGGACCTGGACTCTGCTAAGATGTGCAATTTCCTCTTTCCCAGCCATTTAGCTGAAAACACAAAGCACTGCTGGAAAACAGAAAAAGGCAACCTTTACCGCCAGCTTATTATTCAGCAGCAGCTGGAACCCCTCTCTCCTCTCCTGCTCATCCCCGTCGTGCAGGCGGTCAGCCTGCTGCAGGAGCTGACCCAGCCCTTCCTCCAGCGAGGAATCGGAGATTAAATGTGTTTCATCCTCGTTGACGAGATCCAGGGAATCCCGCCGCACAGTTCTCACTGTTTCACAGCTCACTTCATCTTCCCCTTCTTCGCTCTCTCTCTCGGACTCCCGGTCGTAATCAGACTCAGCATTGGCTGTGGTGTACCTTGGAGAAAATAAAACCACAATGTAAAACCAGTTTGAGGAGCTGCTGCCCAGCCTCTGACAGTTCTACACAGTACAGAAAAACCCCTTCTTAACAGAGGAAAAGGAGCACCTCCCTTTATCCTGGAGAACACAAGTATCTCAAATACTTGAATATTTGAATACAAGTGTCTCAACACAGCAACCATTATTTCTTGGGTAACATACACAACCTCAAAAAGCTGAAACAAGTAGCCCCCCCACAGTTAATTAGAACTCAGTCACAAGTGTCCACATCTCACTTGCAGAGCATAACAGCTCCTCTTCGGCCTTCTAACGTCAATGTAAGAGAATTAAACAACTAAGAACACAGCCAATACAGTTCAGTTAAATGAATGGATTATAAAAGAGAACTTCAGCAAAAAATCCACCATACTCATGCATGTGGAAAATATAAGCTGAAGTTTTTAGGCTGTTCCAGGAAATTTCAGCCACAGTAGCTGTTTTGGCAATATCTGCTACCTCTGTCATCTCGTCTGAGCACTAAATATGAAACAGTTTGTTTCCCTGACATGTGAAAAGGTGCAAAAGAGTAGGAGAGCGATCAAAACTATTTCACGTGCACTAGAAGTCCAGCAAGCAGACAGCAGATGAGCCACAGAAAGATACCACATACAAAACCCAAGGAACAATTAGCTCCTAAATTAGTGAAATGAACCAGGATAAAGCTGGGATCAAAGTTTCAGAAAATGTCTAAAATTAATCTCCCCCAAATCATAGACAGGCACCTAAGCTGGAAATTTAAAACAGTGTTATATATTGACTGACACCATTGCAGTGGGGTTTCTACTTACAGAATTCGCTTATTTTTAAACCAGACTCTATTTGTCCCCCTCACATTTATCTGCGAGCTCTTAACCGAAGTGCAAGTCAGCCAGTAATTTAATAACATGCACTTTTCTATTCAGATTTTGTTGGTTTATCCAAATAGAAAGCTCTCTTCTGGAAGCAAGCTACTTCAAATCCCACAAACACTCAGTTCTAAGGGATCCTTGTTAATTGTTACCCAGTTAAACTCTGCCCACGCCAACTTTACAAGCTCTGCTATGAGGAGAAGTCCCAGCAGTCTGGCGGCATTCGGTAACTACAGCTGCTTGTCCTTCTGTCCTGGCTGAACTTCATCCCCAAGGGACAGCCCAGTGTGCCAAGCTGCCTTCTTCTGGAGACACAGATACGTGACCAAAGCCCGTATCTGAAGAAGCCGTTACAGTCATTTGGCCTCACAGAGATAACAAGACACATTTTCTGAGAAGCATCAATAATGCTCCAGCATTTCCCTCTCTGACAGAGGGTGAACAAACACCCCCGCTCACCACAGCCTCCAACCCCCAGCCATAAATTTACAAACACACCACTTTGTACTGAAGCATTTCCAGATAAGAAATAAAGTCAGAGTCAGCCTTATCGCAGCGAAGCCAGGAAAGCAAGGACTACAAGAAGACACAGCGGAGATGATGTGGGCAGCACTAAATTAATGGCTAATACAGCAACACGGAGGTGGGTGACACTAGCACGGCGCCATTTCACATTAAAAGCTTAATTTCCTGATGTTTTCTTAAGATTAATGCTGTTATTAGTTCTCTAGACTACCTCATTTTTGGTGCTTAAGCACAAACTCCTCAATTCTCTTCCTTCCCATCCTAACCCACTGTGCAGCAGAGCTGTGGGCTGCGCAGCGGGGACACTGTCTCACTGCGACCCGGCACCAGCAGCTGCGACGACTTCAGCGCTTCACCTGAAAAACACTTTCCACGTCAAAGGCTCCTGAAACACAACATGGTCTTTAAAACACAATGGATGGCTCCTGTGCACTTTTATTTTCCTCCACCACAAAAATGTGTTTTCTCCAAGAGAGCTCATACAAGATACTGCCAGTTTAAAAGTATCTTTAAAAGTATATAACTTCATAAACTCGGAGTCTGCAGGAAGATTAAAGGATTTAGATGTTATCAGCCTGTTTTCTCGAGTTTACAACAATGGAAAGTTCTTAAACGCTTTAGTATGTTGAGGCCTCTGGCTAGCACACATCCTGAACAAAAATGAAAACATACCCTCTGGAACAAAAAAACACACGGAAAGAGGAGCAAAGAAGCCCAAAAGACCAACGTGGTGCCAAAGCAGAACGGAGAAACGAAGCAGCCCAAGAGCTCTGGGCTCCTGGAAGCTCGTAGTGATTTTTGGGAGTTGTATATGAAATCAGAGAAGATGTTTATGTCCCTGTGGTTTACAAAATAAAGCTGAGATGGGAGTTCTTCTTTCTGAATTCCATTAAAAGAACACAATTGCCAAAAAACAAACACAGAGCTGAAATGTATCTGTTAAGAACAGTCTCATTCTTCCTCCCAGTGGTGGCAAAAAAGCTTAAACAGTCTTTTCCAAAATTCACATTTCCTACCCTGATTTTCTACGAGAAAACTTTAGTATTTAAATCTCTAAAAGACAATATTACATACCAAGGGCAGCTGGCCCTGAGCAGACTATCATACTTCTTTGTACAGAACAAATACCAGAGTGAGACATTATATACTATACAAGTTTTTTTTAATCAGATGAGAGCTGCTTATCTACTAATTCTCCACACTGGTCATTAAACCTCATTACAGATTTGAAATAAAATGTAAGAACTCTCCCAACCATCACTAGGTTCCCAATGAAGTTGTGAGGCTTTGCAGTAGAACAGATCCCTGCTCCACAGCTCAGCTGAGGTGCCCCAAGTCTTCTCTGAACCTTAGAACTGCTGTCAGCCTTCAGCTGAGGTGCCCCAAGCAGGACGTCTTCTCTGAACCTTAGAACTGCTGTCAGCCTCTATCATCATTCAAAGTTTTCTAACGATCAGAGGGCAGTCAGGGCTGGTTGCTGTTGAAAACGACCCTCCTTTTCAGCATGTTTTACAAAACAAAGACACTGGCACCCTGATGACTCGACACACCCCTTAGTATCTAGAGAGCAAGGTCTGGTCTTCAGAACCAACCATGTAGTTGTAAAATTTGTTAGGCAGCCTCGTTCCCTCTGACACCATCGTGACTCGCTCACTGCCCAGTTTTGTTTTCATACAAACACCCGCTTCAGAGGAGTGAAGCTGTTCTACAACCCGAATGAAACCACATCAGCTCCTTCCTGGTTCACAGTTCCAGCTACTAAAGATAAAACACTAACCCATCAGGGTTTCCTGGCAGTCACAAAGCCTGCTTCCCTGCAGACCCATGTCCTTTGCTCTCCACAACGGCTGCTTTGTCCCCTGGTGACAAACCCCTGCTATCAAGTGTCAGTTTGTACCAGCTGACTGGTCACTGAGCTGCCACCCAACAGCAAGTCATGTCCAAATTCCACCTGCCTGGCTCTCAGCAATACAATTAACTTCAAATCATAAAATCATCTAGGTTGGCAAAGACCTTTAAGATCATTGAGTCCAAACTTCTCTCTTTAAATTACATTTCATTTCAACTTCCTTGGGAAAACGTAGATGGCCAGTGCTGCAGGTTTTAGAACACACAAGCTACAGAATTTGTCTGATGAAGGCACAGAAATATTCGGTCAGAAAGGTGACAGTCACACCCCTGTTTGCAACAGGTCTCACTCTCTAATTAGCATAGCGATACTTGCATCTATATTGTAATTTTTACCAATGTTCTTAAGCTACATGGTACTTTTCACCTGTTTTTAAACTATAAGAACTTTATCAACCCAACTGATCAGTGTGACACCCTGAGGAAAATCTGTGAGAAATACTCTAGCCAAAGACATTTTGGTTAATTGGAATATATTTTTAATTTTCTGAAGTTTTCCAGTTTTCCAGAAATAAATTATGGTATGGAAATCTTATTTATAAACTCTCACTCAAGTCCCAGGTTGGACTTCTACTTCTCTTCTTCCTGCAAGGTTCCCTAATCAAATTATTGCTTAAAAAAAAATCTTCAAAAACTATTTATGGGGTTATTTTTTATCTCCCTCCTTTCTCTAGAAGCTGGAATCATTACACTTCTCCCAGTCTGGCCCTGGCAGTATTAGACTGAGTGCAATAAAAGCAAATAACAGCAGGATGACAGACATCTAACGGGGAGAAAAGCCCCTTCCTTTGTGTCATAACCTCCTCAGATGTCAGCAGCGGGGCAACAAAGCCCGTAAGAGCCACTCCTCAGGGCTGCAAAGCCCGTAAGAGCCGCCCCTCAGGGCAGCAAAGCCCGTAAGAGCCGCCCCTCAGGGCAGCAAAGCCCGTAAGAGCCGCCCCTCAGGGGACCAAAGCCCGTAAGAGCCGCCCCTCAGGGCAGCAAAGCCCGTAAGAGCCGCCCCTCAGGGCAGCAAAGCCCGTAAGAGCCGCCCCTCAGGGCAGCAAAGCCCGTAAGAGCCGCCCCTCAGGGCAGCAAAGCCCGTAAGAGCCGCCCCTCAGGGCAGCAAAGCCCGTAAGAGCCGCCCCTAAGCCCCTTAAGAGCCGCCCCGCGGGGCAGCAAAGCCCGTAAGAGCCGCTCCTCAGGGCAGCAAAGCCCGTAAGAGCCGCCCCTCAGGGCAGCAAAGCCCGTAAGAGCCGCCCCTCAGCTGGTGCTCTGCTCACCCGCCCTCGCTTTCTCCATCGTCCGTGTTGGCCGCGCCTGAGCCGGCTGTGAAATAAATGGAGCTGGAGCCCGTGGAATCGCTTCTCTCTCTGGGAAACGGAAACCGCCTCCGGCGAGTCGCTTTCTGAGTCTCCTCCAGGTGGGACCTTCCAGGGAGGCAAAGAGAGAAACAAACAAACATCTGACAGTGAAATGGCTGCTGCTTCGCCGCCCTTCTCCTCCCCAGTACAGTCTGACCTGCTCTGGCTCACACAGACACCCCCCTGCCACTGAGCAACCCCTGTATCCTGCAGGTAAAGTAAATCTGACCGCAGACTCGGTCCATGTACAAAGGAGGAATCACATCACATGCAATCCTCCGATTTCCTCACGGAACAAAGGCCAAGAAATCCTGAAGCACCTTGCAGAATAAAGGACTTTTTATCCTATATCGAAGTCACCCACAGCTGGCAGCAATCAGAGAGAAAACAGCAGTTTCAAGAGACAAACATTTACAGAACAAAGAACCTTCCCAGTCCAGCCAGTGTCAGTACTTAATATCACAGAAGGGAAAGAAACCAACCAAAAAACTCTGGCTAAACACAGACATTTTTTGCATTAATCTCGCTGCAGATCAAGCTGTAAAGCCAGAGGAAACCAGAGAGACATTCTTTCCACTCTTGGATTTTCAATTTGACACAATCCTGGCTGTCTGACCATGCAATGGAGGAAATAAGCACAAGAGCAGAAAAAGACAGCGAGGGGCAGGGTCCGTACCTGACCTCAGCCACGATTTCCGCAGCCAGGTGCTGCAGGCTGCTCCGGAGCTCCTCCACTTCTTTTCTTAGCTCGGAAATGTTTCTCAACACGAAGTCGAGGCGCTCCAGCACATCCACCTGCCCGTCATAGGTCAGGAGAGGGGTGTACAGGGCACCATCTCCCCCCTCTACAGGAACTGGCAGCTGGGACACAACTTAAAGAAAACAAGAGGAGAAAATAATCATTAGATGCAAATGGGAAAGGATTTCACCTGAGACATCTTAGCACAGTTTTGTTTTCAGAAGATGGAGGATATGAGCCTTGGGCTCAAGTACTGCTGCCTGACTGAGGCTTTGGGTTTTTCAGCCGGTTTATCAGTCCCTTCTCTGCCACCAGCAGATAACCACACTGAGCAGACCTGCAATGGCAATTAGGAGTAAATTTTAACTACACTTCTACAAAACTGCCACGAGGATGATGCGAGGGCTGGAGCAG